GAGGGGGGGGGGGGGGGGGGAGGAGAGGATAATAGATGAAGTTATTTTGATGGCTAGAAGCAATTTTTCCTAAATATTTTGACACATTAGATGTTTTCCTCCTAATGTGGAAACTACAAAGAGTGGTGGGTATACTCCCATATCTTAATAATTTGTAAGACATCAACTCAAACTTTTAGAAAGGATCTTTATACTATCCAAATTTAGGAAAGATAATAGGCTAAATTATGAGAAAAAAACTATTATCGAAAGATGTTGAATCTAAGATTAGCCTAACGAACAATGAATCTATCCACAAGGCTCATCATTAGGGGTGCATTCGGTCCGGATACGGCTCGGATATGATGTTTATCATATCCATATCCGCTTACCCATCTCGGATACGGATACGGATATACCTCGGTAAGAAAAATTTATAACCATATCCGCTAAAATCGGATACGGTTACGGATATACATGCGGATATATAAGCGGATATGCATGCGGATACAAAACAGATATGAGAAAACTAGATAGTATTGAGAAAAACATAGTTCATGTGATTCAAAAGAGTTCGTTAATATGTCCATTATAACTAAAAAGTTAAGATTAGACATCATGATCATCAAAATTAACTACAAATCCACAATCTAAGAATCGAAACTATCGTAAAAGTATGATTAATATGTATTCGGATATTTCGGATACGGATACAGATATTTCACTATAAAACCATATCCATAACCATATCCTATCGGTTATAGATTTGAGTAACCATGTTCATATCCTAACGGATACGGTTACAAATACTTCATCGGATACGGATACGGTTTAGCACCCTACTCATCAAGTATAGTAACTCCTATTATGGGAAAAAAAAATTGTGGGCAAATTAGAAAAGGCAACTTAGGAAACACGTGGAAAATCAATTCAACTCTAGCCTAGTCCGCGTTGACTCAATATAACAATAAGGAAAGAGGAAAACAATTTCGTCAATTAGAGCGCCGACACGGACGAGACTTTGGCAGCGACAGCAACAGCAGCAGCAGAAACAGAAGACAGCAGAAATTGCAGCGGCGTGAAGACGAGAGAAACAAAGGAAAGAAAAGAGAGGCGAAAGAAAGTATAGAGAGAGAGAGAGGTCGAGGAGAGAGAAAATAAAAAAGGAAGAACAAACCCATGCTTTCGCCCATCTCCATTAAGAATCCAATTCTGGTTCCCATCGCAGAACTCGAGGCTTTAGAGCACCCTCCCACACCCACCGATCCCAAAAAATTTATTTTTAAGTCCAAATTGGGTTTATTTATTTGCTTCTTTTTATACCCATTAAAGAAACTGATTGTTCTCTCCTCTTGCAATCGAAAGAGAAGGGCTTGGGGGAATTGCTGAGCTGGAGATTTCTTACTTGGATTTGACTCTGTTTCAGCTTCGCTTTCTATGGGAGGATAAGCCAGGTGAGCTCCCCACATCTATTCTTCGTTTTAGCTGGCCAAGTTTTCTCCTTTTTATGCGAATTAGATTCTGCTTCGGTTTTTGTTTAATGGGTAGGCTTTTTTAATGTTTCTGTCCTTATTCGATTTATTCAGCCCAATTTTAGATTATTTTTCCCGTTTTAGATTCGTCTTCGCTCCTTGATCGGTGTCGGAGATTGAGGTTTTTAACATATCGATGGGAGAAGTCGGCGTTTTTCTAAAAAGATTTTTTTTTTTTAATTTGCAGCTCAATGGATTTGTAGGCTAGATTCATAGTACTTTTGTTGGAACTAGGGTCGAAATCCGTGGTCTTCTGGTTTTGAAGATTTACCTATTGACTGAGCAGTGATTTAGTCCTTTTGTTTATGTCCCCTTTAACTCTTGCTTGTGAGGTAATTTAGGGCCTCTGTTTACTGCCTTTAAGAAGAATTCAACTCATTCTCTCTAACATTTGTACTTCTCTTGTCTTTGTATTTTGAAGTTAGACAACATGACGGACAATATTTCGATCTTCCAACAACAAGAAGAAGAGGATCTCTTCTTCGATTCGAGAGAAGAAATTTCATCACTCTCAGATTCATGCCCTGAAAGTTCATCGACTTCAGTCAAATGGATTGCCAATGACCCTCGAAACAATGTTTGGGTTAGTAATCCAAGTAGCATTCAGGAACGACGAGCCCGGTTCATGAGATGGATGGGTTTGGTATCGGATCCTGTTGAGAGTCCTTGTGAAGGTACGTCTGCTAATTCTGACATTGATCGAATCACGTCAAATGGTGAAGCTGTGCTTATGAGATCCGGCTCTGAGTGTAGGTCATCTACGTTTAGTCTGTTGAATGAGGATTCTAGCACATTGGAGGATGGAGCCTCAGAAGATGGCTTTGAGTTTAGGATGAAGAATCTGGATGATGGCTCGGAGTTCGTTGTCGATGAGTTTAGTGATGGTGGTACTCTAAGATGCCATCGGGAGGTTGGTTTGAATCGTTGTTTGACAGTGGATGAGTTCAATAAAAGTTTTCGCCCATCTTCTTTTATGCAGAAACTTATGCTTAGAGACGATAACAGGTCAAGCGATGCAAGCAAGGTGAGGAGGAAAAATGGGTGGTTGAAGAGATTGGGTGTTGTGACTTGCATTGCAGATAGGCAACCTGCGGAAGTTGTTTCTAGTTTATCTGGTTCAGATAAGAGTTTCAGTTCTCGGGCTCAAAGAGTGAAGGTTCGTTCCAACAGAAAAAGATCAAAGGAATTCTCAGCAGTTTTCAAGGGACAAGAGATAAAGGGACATGATGGAGCAATTTTGACAATGAAATTCAACTCTACTGGAGAATACTTAGCGAGTGCAGGTGAAGATGCTGTTGTTCGTGTGTGGAAAGTGATAGAATGTGAGAGAAGAGAGGAAGGCGACATTCCCGAAGATGATCCTTCCTGTGTTTACATCAAGGTGAATTATAATTCAGAGTTGGCTCCCCTTTTTGTCGATAGGGAAAAGCCTAAAGCAAGGAGAATGAAGAGAACCTCAGATTCAGCTTGCATTGTTGTTCCTCCTAAGGAGTTTCGGATATCTGACCAACCGCTGCATGAATTCTATGGGCATGATGGAGATGTCTTAGATCTTTCATGGTCTAAGGCTAAGGTTGGTTAAATTTTGAAATATATTCAATATTTCGGTTCTTTCTATTTTCTTAATAAGTTTCTTATAGAAAATAAAATATGCCTTTGCAGTATCTACTATCGTCGTCCATAGATAAAACTGTGCGGTTGTGGAAAGTTGGTTGCGATAGCTGCCTCAAAGTCTTTGTACATAATAATTATGGTATGTGTATTGCTCATTGATCTTGGGTGGTGACATATTATCTTGTTCTTGTTTAGTTCTGATAGCAGTGTATTCTTCTTCCCCAATTAATTATGCAGTGACGTGCATTCAGTTCAATCCTAATGATGAAAATTACTTCATTAGTGGTTCAATAGACGGAAAAATTCGTATCTGGGGAATTCGGGAGCATCTTGTTGTGGACTGGACTGATATTAAGGACATCATCACTGCATTGTGTTATCGTTTAGATGGGAAGGTAGTAGTTTGTACAGAAGTTTAACTGACTTTATATGCTCGAAATTAAGTCCTTTCCAAAACTAATGCTTTTTAATTTTTAATTTCAGGGTATTGTAGCTGGCAGCATGACTGGTGATTGCCGATTTTTTTATGCATCAGGTATGAATCTATTTTCTAAATGCTAGTCCTTCCAAATTGTCATTTTATTTGCAAGATCTAATGCTATATTTATATGATAGGTGCAATGTTGATCATGTTATTACAAGTAGAATATTTTAGTTTGACCTTCTAATACTTCTGTGACCGAAGTTGTATTAAGGATAGAAGAATTAAAAAGACTTCAATCAGCGTGACGTATCTGGCAATATGTAATTGTGGGACACACTGTTAGAAAAATGTTTCTTCCTATATCTGACTTATTAACAACAAATAATCTGTAAATCTATAAGATATCAAGGAGGAGGTCATGGGCTTCGGAAAGGAGTTGAAAGTATAGATGACAGGATGAAGAGAGAGTCAAATTATAAAATATCGCCCTATGTATTAAATTATTGATGAACTGATTGAGATGGTGCTGAAGTCTATTAAAACAGGAAGAAACTGCATTATTGCTGTGGGAGAACTTATCATGTTTGAGAACACAATTTAAGGTTTTTGACCAATATTATATTAAACATATATATGCAACTTCTGTATCCCAATTTCTAAAGTGAATAATTTTCTCTAATAGAAAATTTCCCCTAAATCTACTGGGCCTCTTTTTCTATGAAATTGTATACTGTTTAGAGGTGAATGACAATCCAATTACTGGATACTTTTAATATCCAGTAACTTCTACATGAAAGACAAACAATTTCTTTTACTTTTAACATGGATATAGTTTTCATTGTCTTATTACTTTCTTAAAGTATTTTGCAATCAAAGATGATTGGCAATGTGTTAAAGTTTATTACACTTGACACTCAACTACACTGTAGGTTTCCTCATGATTGTGCATGGAAACCTTATCCCCCTCACTTTTTCTGGCATTGATCAGATCATCAGCTGCAACTGGATACTCAAGTCTTCTTACAGTCTAAAAAGAAATCCCATGACAACAGGATAACTGGTTTTCAGGTAAACCATTGGCTTCTTATATATGTCCTCTTCTCTTTACTGTTTTGTGCACTGTATATTGAATTGATTCTAAATTTTGGGTTTTTTTTTCCAGTATTGCCCATGTGATCAAAGAAAACTACTTGTCACTTCTGCTGCTTCCCAAATTTGCATTCTTGATGGAGTCAATGTGGTCTCCAAATACAAAGGTAGCACTAAAAGAAGTAATTTTTGTTACCATCTTATAAATTCCCCTTGACGTTACAAGCATCTCATCTTAATTCTTCATTCAATCAGGTATTCGCAATGCCGGAAGTCAAATAGCAGCATCTTTCACATCCGATGGCAAACATATTATATCAGCCAGTGAAGATTCTAATGTCTACATATGGAACCATGCCGATGATCATAATTCTACCACAAAGAACCATGTCAAGAGCAGCAGATCCTACGAGAGATTCATCTCTAACCATTCATCGGTTGCCATTCCTTGGAGTAGGCCTGCATCTGAGATTTCACATGAAAATTGCTCTGTCTCTCTGGCCAACAACACGATATACCTCTCCCCTGCAGGTAGTTTTACTCTGAGCCCCGAGTTCTTGTCAGAGTTCCATAGTAGGGGCTCAGCAACTTGGCCTGAGGAGAAGCTCCCTGCAAGCTCTACAGTTTCGACTCCAATTCTTTGTAGGTCTCAATACAAGCTCTTGAAGACTTGTTGCAGGAATTCTTCCCATTCTTGGGGTCAAGTGATAGTAACGGGTGGACGGGATGGTCTAATAAGATCATTCCAAAACTATGGATTGCCAGTGAATCCATGAGTCCGATGAGCTGATAGGAATTCTTGTAGATTTTGTGCAGTCTGTGACATTTTTCTTCAGATGAGCTGATAGGAATTCTTGTAGATTTTGTGCAGTCTGTGTCATTTTTCTTCAGAGCGTCGAATCCTTGAGGTGTTGGAAGAGTACAGTCTTGGCATTGCAGTGCATAGGGGTGTAAAGTGAAATTCCACATTGTATTTGTTTTGATAGATGTATTTCAGTTAAATTATACAGCACAGATTCTTTCCTTTTTTTCATCTCAAGGAGAGTGCCTTTTTTTGTGGTTCGTTAGGTGGGCTGCAGCCGGTGGTTATGTCCGTGCATCTTTTACTAGATGTGTGCTGTGTTTCCCCACCTTCCACATGATCATGTTGTCTTGTAACTACAACAAATTTTGTATACATCTACACTTATTTCATGACACATAAAAATGTTATTTTATTCGTAAAGAATTAAATAGTAGTGATACAAATAAAAAATATGACAAATCATGACACATATTTATGTATTAGATATATAATTAAATTTAACTGAAAAAGGCTAGTCGTCCAATATAGATTGTTGAGAGGATCTATTGATGAGTTTAAATAATAAAATTTGGATTTTAATCATAATGATGATTAAATATTATGTTAGTGTATAAGCTCAAAATTTAATCATAATGATGATTAAATATTATGATATTGTATAAGCTAAAAAAAAACTCCATAGTTAAATTGCATTGGTGAGAGTAATCCTAGGATGAGTGACTTTCTAGGAAGTTACATTAATGAATGATGATATTCTTTGTATTTTTATGATCTAAAGTTACATTAATGAATGATGATATTCTTTGTATTTTTATGATCTAGACACAACTATGTGTTATTACTCTTAATACATGTATGTGTCATTGTTTGTTAGAAAATTTGTAATAAGAAAATGAAAGAATTGAATTTGATTTATTTCTTCTAACTGCTTAGAAAAAGAATGTTTACAACTCTCTCAATCTCTAACTGATTACAATTTGAATTTCCTGATTACAAAAAAGAAGAGAATTGATACGAATTCTCTCATTTGTTTAAGTCTAGGTTCTTCACGGTGGCGATGAGATGCCTCCCTCGAATGCTCGCGTCGAGTTTGCCTCTCATTGACGATCCGAACGTCTTGAACTCGTGGAACGCGGTTGAATCCTCTTGATTGATGTCGAGGATAACTTGCGTGACAAGTTTGAAAATAACTCTTGACGAGTTTATAAACTCAGAGCGAGTTTTAAACTCTGTGAAAAGAGTTGTTCGAACAAAAAATTTGGTTAATAGCCAAGTACCAAGCTCTAAGACCTTTGTTGACGAAGGACGCTCCAAGATGATCTGCTCAAGAGATTGCCGATCTCTCATTTTGCGATCTTTTTGATGCAAAAAAGCCAATCCTGAACTCAATTGAGTTTCTGGTATTTATAGGGGATTAAGGGGTGTAACTGTTGGCCTTCTTGTTTTGACTATGTTTAACAAACAATTTACTTCTAATGTTGTTTGTCTAGTGTTTGTGTTTTCGTATTTATTCTAGGCAAACAACGAGTTGGAGGATGGATGGAATTGCGCTTCAACGATGATATCCAATGGAGGTTGGTGGAATAGTGGTTGAAGCCAATACATTCAAGTTTAAGATACAAGTTCAAGCTTCTTCCGCAAGTGTACCAAGTCAAGCTTATTGAAGATCAAGATCAAACTTGGGTAATATTAGTTTAGGTTTATATTATGTGTGTTGGTACTTTAAGCTCAATCATATATACACACACATTATATTGGTTTCCTTGTATATATATAGTTATATATATATATATATACAACACAAGTTTTGTTTTTATATATATACATAGTTATATATACATATACATCTTGGTTTTTAGTTTTATCCACAAACAAAGTTTTTACAAATAAATTCCAAAAATTATGTATACATGTTTGTTTCCTATGTGGATAAGTTGTTTTGGTTTAATTTCATAGATATGAAACGAATATATATTCATATACATACTCATATGTTTCATATTCTATTGTATTTGTGAAAATATTCTATTCATTGTTTATAGACTTCATAACAATAGTTTATATCTTTCTTTAAGTCTATAAAATCATTTTGTAATGTTTCAAAACATGGTTAAGCTAAAAATGTCAAAACTCATGTGTTCACATTTTCATGTTTTGGACTATTTTACAAAATAATGATATTTCTCATTTGGGAGGTCCTTTTTGAAAACCAGTTTTTGTAGCATGTCTATTATCATGTTTACAATCATTTTTTAAAGTTTTACATTTTTTTGAATTTATTTGATATTTTAAACAGTGTTTTAAAAATCAGCAAACTGTTTTCAAACCTGAAATTTTATATATCAGTTCACGATCGACCGTCACGGTCGACCGCGCCCATGTTTTTTCCTGAGGAACCAGCAGAAACATTCACGATCGACCGTAGCGGTCGACCGTCAGTCTGTAAGTTCTCACGGTCGACCGCCGCGGTCGACCGTGGCCTGTTTTGATTCTTTTCAAATTAACCAATAGAGTTTTAAAACAAGTTTAAGAAAGTTTTAATCAAGGGTTTAAGTTTGTTTAAAGTGTGTTTATAAGCTTTTAAGCATTTGAGTGTTTCGGTTTTGTGAATCAATTCCACAAGAGCTTGAGGAGATCATCTATTGAAGTTTGAGCTTCTAACTATTCTCCCTCCACCTCTTGATCTATTGAGAAGATTTCAAAACTCTTATCTAGCTTTACATTTGCATAGTTATTTGATTACCTTTCTTTAAAGCTAGTTTTTATATTGAGTTTAGATTTGATTTTATTTACTCTCATTGTTACACACACCCACATGAGCTTATCGTATTTTCATACATAGTATATTTGGGTTGGTGAGAGTTGTAACAATTGAGTGTAAACTTTCATTGTGTACTCATCCATATTAGAGAACGATCAATTATTGTAATTGTGCTTTAGTGTGAGGAGTGAACGTTGATCGATGAGCATTGAAAACCGACACTATGAGTGATTGTGAACATTGATCGGTGAACGTTGAAAACCGACATTGTAAGGTGTAAACGTTATTCGGGTGAGCGTAGAAAACCCTGTTGTGATAGTGGATTTCTCCCTGGGAGTGGGGAGCGGAGACGTAGGACGGAAGGTCCGAACTCCGTGATCATTTGATTGTGTTTGAGTGTGCTTTTGCGTTTATTCTTATTTGTGCTCATTGCTCATATCGCCATTGTCTCATTATTTACTTTGGCCACTATATTGTTTATGTTTATTTCACCCTTGTGTTAATTTGTATATCCTTACATATATCTCATAGTATATCTCATTGCTAGGATATATCTCATTGTTTGTATTGCTTATCCTAGCTCATATATCTTGTTGTATTTCATACTTGCTAAGATAACTTGTTAATTAGTTTTAATTGGCATAAAATCAGATTAGATTAGCATAAGACCCTAATCCCCCCCCCCCCCTCTTGGGTCTAATATTTGGTATCAAAGCTTGATGCTCTTTGATTTAAGGTCTAATCACCTTGAGTTAAATATTTGTATCTTGCTTGCATATTTTTACATTATGGATATGCATGGTTTAGGTTATGCCATTAATATTGCTCCTAGATTAGATAATTTTCCCTATGCCCAATGGTGTGTTAGATTTAAACTTTTTGTTCAATCTAAACACTTTGATTTATGTGAAATTATAGATAATGCTTACATTGTGCTCACTTCGGAGAAATCCAAGTGGAATAAAATGATCATCGAATGTTTACAATGAACAATATTTTGTTAGAATATTTACTAAATGCTTTTAATTCATCTATGTCTAACAAGTTTGTTCATTTTGATAGTGCTTATACCTTATGAAAATTTATTTAAGCACATGAAGGGGACTTGAAGGTGATCCAACAAGCTTTGGCGGATCCGGCTTCAAGTTCATATGGAGCATCATGCACACGGCCACTAGGCGATAACCCTGGTGAGGTTTGCGAGTTCGAATCCATTAATGATTTATCTAGTGATGAACTTGCTTGTGCTAGTGAAAGATTATTGCATGCCTACAAGAAATTACAAAATGACTTTATTGATTTAAAAAGCAAGCATGATAATTTAGAATCCGATCATGAGGAGCTAGTATCAAAATTGGATGTCATTACAAAAGAAAATATCATGCTTAAAGAAAACAATGACATGTTAATTTAGGAAAATAAAAAATTAAACACATCTATAACTAGCTTATCTCATGAAAAAGATAATGCCATGTTAGAAGTAGAGAACATATAAAATGATACTGCTTCCTTTATAAATGACTATTTATGTTCTACTTCTAATAAAAATGCATATGTGCCTAAAAATGAAGAATTGAATCTTGTGAATAAACGCATTTCTTCTTTAGATTCAACTTTGAAAACATGCATTAATAATCATAAGAGGCTTATGGATATGTGTGCCAAGTCTAAGTCATCATCTACTCATTATGCACACATATATATCAAATTTTATAAAAATGCTCTATTTGCGGCCGAAAAGGTCATTTATCTAAATTTTGTTATGATGCACACAAACATAAGAATGCTAATGATCCTTGTGCATCTCATGTAGCTTCTTCATCTTGTACACTTACACATTCACATGCTCAGTCTCATAAAGTTCATCATAAGCATGCTAATGTGTTCAAGTGTGATCTTTGTGGTTATTTTGGTCACTTGGCAAAATATTGTTTTGATTTGGAAAATAAGTCTTATTTGCCAAATGTTTCTAGTAGACCACATGTTTATAAATGTAATGTTTATGATAGATTTGGCCACTTAGAAAAGTTTTGTTTTGATAATGTTTCACATTTGCAAAAAGGTTCAAATAATTTACCTTTGTTTGCAAATGTTCCACGTGCACCTTTTAATGGTCAACATAAGCAAATGCTTCCTTTCCATTGTACATATTACAATTGGAAGGGTTATTTGAGTGATTATTGCTATGACTGATCTCGTGCACCACATATGCCCAAGAGGGTTCATAACCCTAGGGCTTTGAGCTTGAATGATAGGAGTCATGTCCCTAACCAATCCGGCACCAAGAATTCTTGGGTGCCAAAATGATTTTTAAACCAAGAATTTTAGTACTTTTACTTTTTCCTTTTCTTGGTTTTGAAAATTATGTTTTAAAGTCTTTTTGTTATGAAAACAATTTTTTTTGATCAAATCTTTTGTTTTCATGATTATTAGTTTTGATTTTAAATGAGAGGTTTGTAGTGATATACCCTCCGGGTTTATTGGGTGTTTATTCCC